CAAAATAACAGACTCATAATACAAGTGAAAGTCAGTTATGAGATAATGTTATATAGTTATGTCATAACAATGACACTCAAAATTATAATTGTTACTTTACAGACAAGTCACATTTAAAATGCTGTTAAATTTGAAAGTCAATTACAAGAGAAAATCAAAATTATTATAGGACTGAAATCCTAATGCTGACCCTTAAATGCGGAATAAAATATAAAATCACAATTCTGTTAAAAATTAATAATGTTAACTTTAAGTTATATTTAAAACTATTAAATGATGCAAAGTCATAATTTTGACTTTTAAACTTAAATGATCAGATTCTAAGCCTAAGTTTTAGCAAGGCAAATATTTGAGTGTGTATCCCATAATTACAGCAAAGAAGCTGTTGATTAACTTGATATAATAAACAAAAAACTGCAGAGACCTTTTTCTATCAAAGATTCAATTAATGCATTTATTGATTCACATAGAAAAAAGGGGAGTGACCAGAACATGACCCAGTAAAAAATATACTAGAAGATTTTATTAAATAGTTCAGAAATTTTTTTAAGTGCAGAAATCTGTAACAATCAGTGCTGAGAAAACTCGACTTTCTGCATGAGATATATATATATATATATATATCTCCAAATTTAAAAGTGCAAATCACAAAAAATCCAGCATGACTGATCTTCAGAGCTGAATTTTTTTGTTTGAAAATATACAGCACATATAAAACAGGAAAAACAGATTTATGGTAAGTCATTGAATCAGCAGAGCAGAGAGTCTCTTCTAGCCGGCAGCACTGCCACTTCCTGTTGGAGTGAAGTGGTTTTCCTTCAAGAGGCTCCGGTCAGCTTCAGAGTCCAGGCCCACTGGCACGGCATCTTGCTGAAGGACAGCGGAGGCAGAAACACCTGCAGGCCGCTGGGCTGCAGAGCCGTCCACTGCAGAGGGCCGTGACCCACCAGCTCCACCTTTTTAAGGCCAGAGACGGGAGAAAGTTGATAAACCACCGTGAACGTTAACAAAGAGCGTTAACGTGTGCAGGTTCTAAATCGTTTAAAAGTAACCTCAAATTTTTCAGTAACTACGCATTCGTAATTCGGCAACAGATTTTTTATTTATTTATTTTTTTACCTGCGTCTGTTTCTGGGTAACCACGGGTTCATTCAGGATCACCGATCCATCATCCGGCCACTCCAGTAATAAGGCGAAGATGGCCTTTTCCTGAGGTTTGGACGTGTACCTGTGGAAGACGGAGTTCTGCTTTTAAAAACGTGTATATTCAAGTTTAATCCATCTTTGCTATCATATTATTACTCAAAAAACACAACAGCAGCAGAAATGTTGACATTAGTAATTTTTTTCCCAGCTCTTTTGCTACAAATGGTACGCCAAAGGAATGCTGTGTTATTGCATTCCAGGCAATAAATGTTTCTTGTTTAAAAAGTAACTTAATTATTTGCTTATTTGAATGTTCTTATGCATGTCTAATACTGCATAAAATAACCTGGTGGTTAAACAAAAAAAAATCTGTTGATGGTGTCGATTTTTTTATCCAGTCACTTGATGCATCGTCAGAACAGAATACTCGACAACTACAGTAAATGTTAGTTGCAGCTTCAGTTCACGTGGTTCAGACGCTCACCAGATGTTTTTGGTGACGTTCTCCTTCTGAGCCCGCCACGCCGTCGTGTTGTAGATGGCCTCGCCGTTCACCTTCAGCCACTGACCCATCTGCCTGAGGCGCTCCTCGAAGATCGGGGCGATTGTGCCGTCGCGCATCGGCCCCACGTTCATCAGCAGGTTCCCTCCACAGGACACGGTCTCCACCAGGGTCTGACGGCACAGGAAGCAATGGGAGAAAGAAACGTGACTAGAGATGGGCAATGAAAAAAGCAAGAGTGAAGAAATATCATAACGTAAAACAGTTCTCTTCTGCTGTTTTCTGCTTCTCTCTAAGATTAAAACATGTACCAGTTGTATACAAGTATTATGTGTTGATCCTAAGTAAACATTAAATGATCTGATCAGGTTCCTCCTATGTGTTGTGATACTTGTTGTTTTATAACTTCAATATAGCCTAACATAGCTACATAATGCTACCAGCTCTTCACGAACACTGAATTTAGTTTGTATAAGTGAAAGACTGCAGCAGCAGAAGTTCATCGTTTAGTGAAGGAACTTGGGTCTGCTTGCCCCAGGTATAGAAAGTTTTGGGTTTCTCACCGCCACGAGCTTCTCGATGCCGATGTAGTCACTGAGCGGAGCGTTGCGTCTGTAGCCCCAGGACTTGGAGTCGATGGTCATGCAGTTTTCCCATTTGTGCTTGAGCAGATGTCCTGGCTGGTAGCGGTCACTACAGGTGTAATATCCACCGTGTTTGCAGATGGAACCTGAGCCCCAGCGATCGTTCGTCACAACGGTTTCTTTTACCGGACTGTCAAACAAATACATCACATTACGTCCAGCAATGAAGACAGATGAAAGTTTCCTCGTTCGCAAGCCTACCTGTCGTTGTAGAGCCAGGCCAGGAAGCCTGTGCTGTTCCAGTACTTGTCGGGAGCATTTCCATCTCCGTCGGACCACAGAACCTCTGGTTTGTACTTCAAAACCAGGTCGTAAAGTTCAGGGAGAGTTTTAGTGGTGGGAAAGTAGTTTGTAGTGAAGAGGTTGGCGGCATCTTGCTTAAAGAGCGGGTTGAACCACTCAAACAGGGAATGGTACAGCCCCAGACGAAGGCCGCCCTGGGCGCGCACGGCACTCGCCACTTCATCCACCAGGTCTCGCTTTGGTCCCACGTCCACGGCGTTCCAGTTCCAGGAGTTTTTGGAGCCCCACAGCGTAAATCCTGATAAAAAAAAAATTCACCAGCAAAAAAAAAGAAAAAAAAGTACAGCTCGTGACATCAACACAATCGGCAAAAGGTCAGGAAGTTCATTTTCTCAAACTCCAAAACCTACGAGTTTGAAATTCCTTGAAGAGAAAAGTAACTTTGACATCCTACTGGTAGTTTTAGCTTGTTTACCTTCATGGTGTTTCGTGGTCAACACAATGTACTTTGCCCCCGATGCAGCAAAGATGTCCGTCCACTCTTTGGCATCGAAGAACTCAGCTGTAAACTGCGGTGCAAAGTCTTGGTACTGGAATTCCGGAGGATAGTTTTTCTTCATGAAATTAACATACTCCGGTTTATTTTGCTGCCAGTAATACCTGGAAAATAAATACACATCTGACAAATCAGAGGCGGTGAGAAACAATAAAGTCCTGATAGCCTTACGAATTAAAGAATCGCATATAAGAAACAGCTGTGGAGTATTAATGAGCTGGAGGCACTGAAAGACGTTGACATCACGGACTAAATAAGGTTTTAGACACTCCACCATAACGTCTTGTGATGCTTTCCGTCATGTCAAACCAGGTTTTCTGATTTTATAGTTATTCTCTCAAGATGCGTATAGAAATCAAGTTAGCTTAGCCCTGATCAATGACGAGAATGAAGAGTTACAAGTCGGCGGTTCGTCTTGGTTCAACACCAGAAGAGGTTCGCTTTGGGATTTGAGGCCATTTTCAACACTTTTACAAACAACAGTTTATTTCTGCAAATACAGAAAGCTGCTGAAAATAATTTCCATCCACGCAGAGATTATTCTAAATTAAATAACAGCATTCAACAGCTTGTATACCGTTAAAACCTACAACTGGTATATTTCGTCCGTTGTTTACATTTGATCTTATCAACTTTCTAACTCATCCGACTGAAAACAGTTGATCTGTCCTGCTTCAATGACATATGGGGAAAAAAAAAATTATTTGATTGCTCATATTCAAAAAGCAATAGGTATGCATTTGAATTAGGACCACACCACACTTGAAAGTGGCCTTGTTCACACATGAAAAAAAAAATTATATATATATATGATTTGTATCAGTCAGTCAGCTACAGGTCAAGTCTTGGCCAAAAATGTTGGATTTGGAATCATGTTATCTGGAGATAGTTTAAGCAAATTACCATTATATCAAAACCATGGAATTGCTAAGGATAGCAAGATGATACATGTAGCTTACAAAAGAAAGCTACATGTATCTTTTAAATAAGTACAGCTCGTGTACTTATTTAAGTACACGAGCTGTACTTAAATAAATAAATAAATAATTTCAGGCGTTATCTCCAGTGGGCCAGGCACCACACCCTGATGGTCTCCTCTACGCCCATGCAAACACACCTACTCATGCTCAGCCTAAGTACCAACATCAACAGGACTTCCTGGCTCTCTGTAAAGTCAAAATTGTGCTTGAGCAAGAGTCCTTGTCAAACGGCGTTTTGACCAAATTCCAAAGGGTTGGAGTCCCAGTTGATGGCGTCTCAACTAAAGTTCTTCAGCTTTTTATTTCTCTTTCTCACTGTTTACATTTTAATTATGTTTTTTAAATCTCTTTCTCGTTCTCACTGTTTATTACATGCTGTTTTTATTTTAATTATGTAAGCACTTTGAAATGCCTTGCCGCTGAAATGTGCTATACAAATAAAATTTGATTGATTGATTGATAACTCACCAGAACCACTCGCTGCCGAAGCTCGGCACAGAAAACACCCCCCAGTGTATAAAGATGCCGAACTTAGCCTGGTCGAACCACTCTGGCAGGGGTCTGGAGTCGATGGACTCCCAGGTCGGTTCGTATTTGGCCCTCGTGAAGTCAATCGTCAGGGTCCAAACCAGGAGACAAACCACCGTTAAAGCTCCCATTTTAAAGCGAGTTCTGTCAAAATGAACCGGTCGGGCAGGTTGGATGGTAAGATAAAACTGGGAAACCACGGGAACTATCACATGATGCTCTTCAGTATTTAGAAACTAAGGTTAAAATAAAAACACTTCTTCCTCAAACTACTGGGATGCGTTTGATTTTAAAAAAGGAACTTGCCGCTACTGTGCAACTAACGAGCAAGAGAGAACACCGCCCTCCCGGGATAGGCGGGGTTAGATTTTGAGCTGTCAAGGTTGCACGCATGCGCAGACTGCATTTCATGCAGGAAGTAGGGAATGTTTTGGTTTTGAGAGCTGCACAGACTGAAAAAAAAATCCCACATGCATGGCTACATTGATTGCCACTGTCATATCTCTGCTAGGGATTTTGACAAGGTACGAACCAAGTTAAATTCTTGTTTTGTAATCCTTTGAAACAATTAATGAAGTTTTAACTGTTTCTTCTCGACAGGACGTGGAAGAGGTGATTGAGAATTCAAAGAAGGTGAGTTTTCAGAGCTAAAATGCTTAAACTTTATCCACGTTTTCTCATGCGACAAATAAAAACGAGCATTTTAAACAGGATTTTATGTGATGAATAAAGTCAAAGTATTTCTTTAAATGTACAGTATGTGTCTATTTGTGCATATAAAACAGCAACAGACTATTTACAAAACATTTTTAACAAAAGACTGCAAATATCAGCTGGATTCTTATTTCTGAAATTAGAAAAACTGTTCAAATTACAACAAACGCTTGAGTTTATTATTAGCAATGGTGGTCATAATATCTAGCCGCTCCTGTTAGGACGGCTCTGCGGTATTTTAGCTAAAGCTAATTGTCGAGACAAAATTGTATAAGATATTTTATACAGTCAGACTCTTTTTACCCAGTGTGTGACTAGATTTTATTTAGGGGTACCAGGATAGTGTAGTGTGTACCATATACACACTATGGCAGATTTTTAGTTGCAGAAATGGTTGAGAGCAATGTATTCTTTTACTTTTTCTTCAAAACTTTGTGTTGGTGTATTGCATAAAACCTATATAAATAGTGTGGTTGTATTTGTACCTCTCACCAAAAAAGATTTTTCCTGGAGGATAAATTGTCCTATGAGGTATTGCGATAAACGATAATATTGTTGTTTTGAGACTGTTTTCAAGTAATATAATGCTAACGGCATAATAACGCAAGAACAAATTCTCAAAGTTCAGTAAACTTTAAGATCTAATGAACATTTAACACTGGAACTGGAAGACATTTTTTAAATATACAAAATAAATAAACAAAACAACAAACAAAATGAACTAGGAAGTCTCTGTATGCAAAATTGTCCTTCAAAAATGGGGGCTAGTTGAGACCAATGAAGACTGGAAACCTTTGGTCATTCAGAGAGAGAGAGAAAAGAGAAAATGGTAAATCATGTAAATGGAAATTATTGACTTTATTTTAATCCATTTTCCGATTATTGCTTATTGGTTGCTTATTATGACAGGCTGAGTTGTATTTTGACTAATTGTGAAAAGAAGGAGAAGGGGTATGAAAAGCAAACTACTGTGAATTAATGTAGTTTTATTACCTAGGCTGGCTTGCTGGCACTTTTGGCTGTGGCTGAGCATGCTGGGGAATTTACCAAAATCATTGAGCTGTCTCAGAGGTAAAAAAAAAAAAAAAATAAATAATAAAATAAATCATCTGAATACAGTGAAAATTGTTTTTTTTTCTGTTTACTATGTTGCTAATTGTAGATTTTTTTTTCTTCTTAGATTTCCAGGTTTTATTTTCCCCTGTTTGGGAGTCCATCCTGTTCAGGAAGTTTCCCCAGAGCAACAGAGGAGTGCTTCTCTTCAGGTTACAAAGCAACGCGTCAACATCTGAATTTAAATAGGCATTAGTAGCTCTGCTGTTGGATTAAAGACCATTTGGATTACAGGACCTTGATGCAGCTCTACCCATCATAGAGAAATACAAAGACCAGCTTGTCGCAGTTGGAGAGGTAAAGATTCACGAGTACTCAGTCATTGTTGTGTTCGGAGACCTGAAGTCAGTTCCAGTTGTTAGACGGACAAAAATGTCTCTTTACATTGTAAAGGTTGCAAATCCCTGGATTTAAATCTACAGACTAAAAGCATCTCCAGATCACTCACAGACTTAGCAAATAGCAAAGCTCTCAAATATCACTGTGCTCTGTTGGTGAGGCGTCTCTGATGCGATGCAAACTGGATATTCCATTATTTGTTTCTTCGCAGGTTGGCTTGGATTTTACTCCCAGGTTTGTCAGCGGCGAGTCTGAAAAGGAGACTCAAAAGCTGGTTCTCATCCGTCAAGCACAGGTTGCCAAGGAGCTGGATCTCCCTCTGTGAGTTTTCCCCATGTGGAGACAGTTTGCTTTATAAGATTGTCCTTCGGATTAAAACATTTTTCAATTCTTTCTTTAAAATAAGAAAACAAAATTTTTTATTGCAAATGAATTGTTTAGTATATAAAAAATGACTTCTAACATCAATATGTAGTCTAGTCAACGTTTAGTCGATTACTTCAATAACTGATTTGTCACGATCAGTCATTTCAGCCATAATTTTAATATGGCTAACAATTTTAATAATAAAGGATGTTTTTTTTCTTTTTTTTTTTTTAGAAATGTTCATTCAAGGTCTGCAGGACGACCCACCATCCACCTGCTGAAGGAGCAAGGTGAGCAGGTAACTGTGTGGACAAAGTGTTTACTGGTTTGATGAGGCAGCTGCAGTTCCTCTACTTTGCCACTAGGTGTCGAAAAAGCCCTTCTTCACGCTTTTGATGGGAAGCCTTCTGTTGCAATGGAGGGAGTGAAGGCTGGATATTTCTTCTCTATCCCCCCATCCATAACACGCAGCGAGCAGGTACAGATGATGAGCTCATATTTTACACGATCTTTAACAGAAATTATGTTTACACTGGAATGTTTGCTGCATTTCCCACCAAGAAGCAGAAACTCGTAAAACAGCTGCCTCTGGAGAACATCTGTTTGGAAACCGATTCGCCTGCTTTGGGCCCAGAGAAGCAGGTAAAGGACAGGAACTGACCCACACGCCTCCATGCTACTGTCAACTCTAAATCCTCAATGTTTTTTTTTCCTTAAAACTGTTGCTTAGCTTAGCATAATTATAACGCTTCGTGTTAACAGGTAAGAAATGAGCCCCGAAACATCTGCGTCTCTGCCGAGTACATCAGTAAGGTCAAAGGCGTGTCGCTGGAGACGGTGATGGAAGTGACGACCCAGAATGCCCTGCGGCTCTTCCCCAAGCTCAAGTCTGCCATCCGACCTTGACGGCTACGTCAGTAATCCAGAAATGTCCCGAATATTTTCTTGTAATAATCTGTACATCACCATGTGATTAAAAGCTTTTAAAATCATGACTGTTGAGAGATTTTTTTTCTTTATTTCTAAGAAAAACAGAAAACCAATCTACTGAATTGTCTCACTAATTTAAATACTAACATTTTCTGTTAATTCTTCAAACTTGTTATTTTTCTTGCAAATTTATTGCCGTGACAGAGTGACGTTTTATTTACAGAACTGGTGGGGATACTTCCAAAGCATTCTGTACTTTATAGCCCATATTAATGTTACTTGTTTTAACTAGTTTTTTTTTTCTTTTTGCGTAGTTGACCAATCGTCAACAATTTGAAGACGACAGCCAGCTTTAAGCATTTGCTTCACAGCTTTTTTGTTTTTTGGTGTCTAATTTTTATTGATTTTCATGAGTGTAAAACAAGTTTCTACCTTTTTAGAGCCACAGCTGGGCTTTAAAACAACTGAAACTGACAAACTGTGTGAAGGACGCTAAGGTAAAATAACCAGAGCTCACTGTTAGAAATTTTTTTCTATGTAATTTAAAGAAATTTACATCAGTACCAAAGTTATGCAACATTTAAGATTGGTTCCAATGTCATTAGTTGTCGGTAGTTTGAATTTAAATGTCTTTAAATAGCTGTGATTGAAGAGAAACAGTCTGTCGAGTTTTGAAAATAAAACGTTTTCCATTTCTTGCTTGGTGTAGGATTTCATTTGCGCAACATTTTTCAGACCTCCTTTGTGTATTTTGCTTATAAACAAAACTGCAGGTGGACAAGTTTAACCCAACACATATTTGTACCTCTAAACCACGATGCTAAAACGCAACCAGAATGTGGTTTGGCTAGGTGCGGCTGGAAGAAGGAAGGATCACCTATAAATAAACTAGGTCGCTGACTGGAGCATTCAAAATAATTATGTATGAATCTGTGAAGGGCGACTTGACCTGAATGACATGCCATGTGTGACAGATCTCTAATAAACTATCATAACCTAAGGACTGAAGGCCAATCAGTCAGCCATTGTGAATGGAGTAAAAATATTAAGGAATTTACAATATATGGACGAATTAATGTTCTACAACCAAATGAATGGCCTATTTTAAAACTTTTTTCATATATAAGGCGCATAGAATATACGCTACAGTTATAGTTGTCACTCATCTGTTCCGTAATCAACAAATGTGAATGTGTAATAACAAATCTATGGTCCCCGAGTACTTTATATAGTAGGCTGACCCAGTCATTGTTTCACTCACGGTGTTGGTGTTGCGATATTGTGCCCAACTGCTTTCTGGGTAACACAGACCAACCGACATGGTGCCGCCGCAGTCTCTGTCTCTCTTTCCCCGCTCCCTCCTGGCTTTAAATGTATAGGGGCTGGTCCCTTGGTAACCCTAGTGGAAGCACCCCGGATGAATGTCTAAAGCCTCTTTGTTGACATAAAGAATGTCAACAAAACAGTCCAACTCCAGTCGGCGAGGAGAGCCTTCTGCGACTGGGCCGGGGCGTGGCCGGACGATGGTCACCCTTCTCTGTTCGCGTACAGCATGTTCGTGGAGAACGTGGTGCTGACCTGATTATCAGGTCGGTAGGTAGATACATAGACATCAGATAGGTCAGTAAGACTTTATTAACAAACCAGCGTTCTGACAACTATCCCAGCATGCACCTCGCGCTTCTTCTTCGGTCGAAAATGAAGTCGGTGGCTGCTTACCTAGTTGCTAGACCTGTTATGGCTCAATATTGGTCTATGTATAAGGCGCACCGGATTATAAGGCGCACTGTCGGCTTTTGAGGAAATTGAAGGTTTTTAGGTGCGGCCTACAGTGCGGAAAATACGGTAATTAAAAACTTACAATTTTAACATTCGGTTCTTCTTCAATGTCACTTTTAAGCTACAATCTTTTGGGGGAACTGGGTTGACGACATGAAATCAGTATATTGGTCTGCTGATGATCCCAGTAATTGCTGCTGCGTTTGTGTTTACGTTTAGGGCGTCTGATGAGATTAAGTCGATGCTGACGTGCAATCTGACGAGGCAGCTTCTTGACCCTATCTGTAGTAGATTGGCCCACTGCAATGGACTTTATTCAAACCCATTTTATCCAGCTGATACAGAAATGTGTTGAACTGACCAAAAATCTGAGGTATATAACTAACTGCAAGGCTAGTTAGGCAGGACATATTAAAAAGTTGTACCTGGTCCATAATGCTAATCTTCATATAAACCACTATAAGGGTCAAACAACCGACTCACTTTGAATTTCCTGTTGTCTCATAGGTGTTGAGCAAATAACGTGTCATGATTCTGTAAACCTGAACACTAATTGAAATGGGCTGTAAACAGGACAGCTAGAAATCGAATCAATTTAATTCTGATAAACAACTGATGTCCACTTGATGTTTGATATCTTGTTCCTGTGAGAAGCTTTATTTGTTCTGTGTTCCAGCAAGACAACAACCTGTTGGAACAAAAGAGTGGTTTTCTACTTTTATCTCATTTATTTACTAAACCTTTAGTTAATCAGAAAGTCACTATTGAGATTAAGATTCTTGGTCAAGATAGAGTGGATAACGCATTCTTCTGGGATTTCTTTACCAAGACTCTGACATCAACCCTACTAAAGAGTTGAGGACTTCGCTTAGGAGTTTGGCAAACCAATCAGTTTTAGTAAACTCCAAAAATTCAAACCTACAAACAGAATTAGTCCAAAAGCTTGCTGATAGCTAGAAAAAATGTCAAAGTATAACTTGCTAGCACACATTCTCGACAGACGGTGCGGACCAAGAAATAATCTCCTAAACTGAAGTGCGCAAACTTTTAAGTTTACTTTTAAGACAAATTAATTTTACACAAAGTTTTACACCTGTGGAACACCATAGTAACTAATCAAGTAACTCTTTAAGGTGTTGCAAGCAGAACATTTTAGACATTTTACAAATGGGGAATAAACATGTAAACCAATTAGATGGAAAAATGTGAACCTCACAAATAGATTTTTATCAGTTTTATGTTAATATTTGCTTCCACAGTATATCCATCATGGCTGGGGAGTTATCGGAATCAAACTCTGGCTCAAATATGTGAAATTTTTGAAATTTTAATGCAACTATGACAGAAAGTATGAAGCATGCTTATGGAAAGTAATTTGCAAACATAACCTCTAACCCTTTGTATTGTAATGTGTTGTGTCGATGTACCGGTCATAATGCGGTATGCTGATCTACAGCAATTCTAAATGAAGACTCATGCTTTAAACTTTTTTAGCTTTACTTTGCCAATACTTAAGGTGAAGTTCAAAGGAATCCATTCATGTTTATGCAGCTGGAAACATTTTTGTTTGATTCTTTGTGTGGTTCAACACAGCTGCGTTCAACTCAAAATACCACTATGTAATATATGTATGAATCCCAATATCCTAATGAAATAGTCAAAGCAATACCTACCAAACATTGATCACTGGGATTAAATAAAAACTAAGCATAAGCTTAAAAAAAATAAAAAATAAAAAAATAAATATGTCATGAACTAAACTACAGTAAACAGAACTACTATCACAATTACATACCCACGGTAGATGTACGCACATTTTTGGCATCAAAGGAACGCCATAAAAAACTGCAGGTCTGCCATGTTTAGGAGTACCTTTTGTGATGTCACTGGCCAAATTACGAAAAAAAATGTTGGAAGTATCTTTGTTTTCTTCAGTTCTGACGTGAAATCGATACATTTGGTGACATAAATACATACATCTTTACTCAGTTATGTTTTTATTATCTTATGTTAGCCATTTATTTGTCTTCTTGAAATATTCTTTGCTATGATCTGTTTTTTGTTCACATAAAGAAACATACGACTCCAGTAGTCACGTGATACTTAAAAAAAAAAAAAAGGAATGGGCGGGAAGCTCGTGGACGCCTCGTGCGTGCAGCAGCTCGCGACCCGCCCTGAGCGGACACGTCAGCGGGAACACGCAGCGACTGACAGATTGTGCGCCCAGGATAGCGGTTTGTTGATAGTCGAGATCGCTGAACTTTGCCTCTCTGGATGGTGTGTGTCCATTTGCATGTCCGCAGCGTGTCGCCCCGCCGCCTTGTCTCGCAGGATTTTTTTTTTTGGTTAGTTTTTTTCCTGTAAGGAATTGTCAAGTCAAACCAAGGTGAGAGAGGGACTTATGTTGTGCCACTGCCGTTGCACAATGCTCGCTGCTCTGCATGCGCTCTGAGCTGAGACGACGTGTTGAGAAAAGCTTCTGGTGGTGAGTGGAAGTTGTGGCTCTTTTGTTTGTCCAATCGGCTCTGAAATCCATATTCTCCATCTCTATCGTCTCTGGTTTTCTTTTTGAGCTTACACAAAAGCATGTTTGTTTTTTTGTTTGTTTTTTTAAACCTTCCTCTTTTATTCCTGCTTGTGTTTACATTGTGTAGCTAAAGCGTGGTATTGGTGGTTGTGGTGTATTTACAGAATGGCTTCTTAAAAACAAACACTTGCTCACCAAACCTCTTTAGATTTTTGTTTGTTTTTTTTCTGTGCAGGTCACTGTAGGGTAACATCATGACAGGGGACGCAGTGGTTTTGAGGGGTCTGAGCTGGATAAAGCAGGCAGCTAGCAGAGGCAGCCTGAGCAGCCCCAACAACCACAGGCTGGTAAGCATCCATCCCACCATCAGATCACCAGGGGTGGGCAGTGAGCTGTACAAAGTACATGAATCCACTCTGCAGCTGCAGAGTGGATTCATGTTTCTTCCATGAATGCATTTCTCCACAGGATGCACTATGGTGCTGTTCTCTGAGTAAAACAATATATATGAGTATATGTAAAAGGCTAAGGACATGTGCATTGATTCATGCACAAGAATGGTATTGTTAGAGATGCACCGAACCGATATTAATATCCATGTCGGTTTCGATATTGGAAAAAATCGGTGGCATTGTGTCTGATCTGTTCGGTTTAATTCTATGCGTTGTTTTCTGAGTGTTTTATTATTTATTTTGCATTATGTTTGATGGACTTTCTGAACCATTTGAAAAAATTTGCAGTTTATGTTTTTACATT